CAAAAGGAGGGCATGGTGCTGGCAAAACAACAAATTAATACCTCTAAACATGCCCTAGACACCTGCTCGAGGACAATGGCTTCAGCCATAGCTCTCCGAAGACATTCCTGGCTACGTAACACCAATCTACAGCCAGATACAAGAACATACGTAGAGGACCTCCCCTTCGATGGCCTTGGTCCTTTTAATACTACAACAGACACCATATTACAAGACATGGACAAAAGCATAAAAGCCTCTCGTGCTCTGGGTGTTTCTTCATCCACGAGGCAGCAATACCAGCCTCGTCCCTGGTCTAGACCATGGCAAAAACGTACCCCAAACTGTCAGTCTCCTGAGCGGCAATGGAGGCCACATACATCCTCTGGAGGTCAGAAGCCCACATTTCAGAAACCTAGATTTGGATTGGGACAACAATCCTCCCGCAGTAAGCAGGCAAAGTCCGCCAAACAAGGTTTTTGACTTCCATGTCTTCAAGTCACATCCCACCTGTCTAACCCCCTTCCTCCAAACTTGACGCCTCATCACCACAGATGAATGGGTGCAGGTTTTTGACTTCCATGTCTTCAAGTCACATCCCACCTGTCTAACCCCCTTCCTCCAAACTTGACGCCTCATCACCACAGATGAATGGGTGCTTTCCATCTTGACACAGGCTTACCTCATAGAATTTATTCAGAACCCCATTACTCCTGTCTTCGTCTCCACACCCCCTTCTCCAGCCCTTTTGGAAGAAGTGTCCGTCCTTCTGCACAAGGGAACCATCGAGCCGGTGTCCCTTCATCTACAGGGCAGGGGATTCTATTCCCGCTATTTCACCGTTCCAAAGCGGGATGGAGGCGTTCAACCAATCTTAGATCTACGGGTGCTAAACTGCTTTGTGAGCTACCACCGCTTCCGCATGATGTCCTTGCAGCAGATTCTGCCACTTCTCCAGAAGAACGTCTGGATGGCCACCCTCGACCTCCAGCACATGTACTTCTCCCCCACCACCCCCCCATCCCACCGCCAATACCTACACTTCGCAATTGGTCAACATCACTACCAATATGCAGCTCTGCCATTCGGCCTTTCAAGTGCACCAAGAGTCTTCACGAAGACGATGGTGGTGGTCGCGGCCTTCCTTTGTCTCAAGGGTATCTCCATCTACCCATACATCGACAATTGGCTCTTGGTTGCGACTTCCAGGAACGCCCTAGTCTCAAACATCGAGACGCTAACCCTCCTGGGAAACTTGGGCCTGCAAGTAAATCTGGAGAAGTCTCAACTTCAAACGGTCCAGAAAATTCACTACATCGGTGCGCTACTGGACTCCACAAATTGCACAGCCTACCTGCCACAAAATAGAGCCGCCGACATTGTCAATCTAGCCACTGTGATGCGTACTCGGCCTTCAGTGACGGTTTTCCAAATACAAAGGCTACTCGGCCTCATGACCGCTACTACATCAGTCCTGGTTTTTGCCAAGTTGAGAATGCGCCACCTGCAACTCTGGTTTATCCACAATTTCAATCCAGAGCGAGACACACACTCGACCCACCTATCCCCACCTGTCAAAGTACGGGACTCTTTACTTTGGTGGACCACCCCTTCCAACCTTTTCCAGGGAGCACCCTTTCATCCTCCATCACCCCAAATTACCCTGACTACAGATGCCTCTCTCTCGGGCTGGCGCACCCACATGATGGTTTTGTGTCAGAGGTAGATGGAACACACAGAAACGGCACATCAATTTTCTGGAACTGCTTGCAATACGGTTCACTATCACCAGTTTCCTGCCCCTGATCAAGGGGAAGTGTGTCACGGTCCTCACGGACAATACTACTGCCCTCAGCTATGTAAACAAGCAAGGGGGCATTGTTTCTCAACGCCTCTGCGAGCTCGCCCTTCTGTTATGGGACTTCTGCATCGCCCACAACATTTTCCTAGTCGCCACGCACATCCCGGGGCACATGAATGTGCAGGCGGACCACCTGAATCGGGCAGGACTCAGTTTGCACAAGTGGGAAATGAATCCGACTTACCTTCTTCCACTCTTCCGCAGGTGGGGGTTCCCCCAGCTAGATGTTTTTGCCACCAGGGCAAACAAATAGTGTCCTCTGTTCTGCAGCCGAGGTGGCAGGGACCCGCAGTCTTTAGGGGACGGTCTCTTCTACCTGTGGTCCAGATAATTTCTCTTCCTCTTCCCTCCACTGCCTCTACTTCTGAGAGTGGTCCGCAAAATCATCAGCGACAGAGCGGACTGCATCCTCATAACCCCGTGGCGGCCGAGGCAACCATGGTTCTCAACCATCCTCGATCTGTCAGCGGGGGGGTCTACCACCAATTTCCTCCAGTACAAGACCTTCTGTTCCTAACCGAGTCCGTTAGAGCTTGCTACAATACCGATCGATCCAGCGCAGGCGCACTGTATCCCATGGGTGTGAATGCACAGATGACCACTCGAAGATCACCAATTACAGGTAAGCAACCTGTTTTTTCAGACTAGCATCTGAGAGATCCAGGTTTGAAATCATTACTCTTGCTGTGGGTGACCTTGGGCCAGTTATGCATTCGCAGCCTTACCTATCTCATAGGATTGCTGTGAGGACAAAATGGAGAAGATATGGATGATGTAAGCTGCTTTGGGTTCCCACTGGGGAAAAAGGCAAGGGTATAAATGATGTAAATAAATATAATTGAAAATGGGGGCAGATAAAAGATAGGCTGGCTAGTGGGTGAGAAGGAGGCAGGGCAAAATCATGAAATGAGGGCTCCCAGGAGGGAAAGTGAGGTGCCCTCCATTAGTCCTTGTGGTTTTCCCACTGCACTACTGGACCATTGTTTTCCAAACTGAAGATGGGGGACGCATAAAGGTTGGCTGGCTGGTAGGTGGGAAGGAGTGAAGGAAGCAGGAAAAGGGGAGTGGTTATCGGGGCCTTTAGGAAAGGGAAACAGGCAATAGTGGGAGAGGGGAAAATGAGATCCCCCTCCCAGCCCTTGTAGGTCCTCCGTATGCATGTAAAGAATAACTGCTTAAAATTGTCAGTGTACAGATCATCACCGTACATTAGAGTTGCATCTACATCACCAAATAAGAAATTTAGAAGTGTCAACGAACAAGGACAGTAGGAGGAAAGTTTACCATAGGTAAAAGAAATAGCATTCATAGAAAGTGTCCCACTTATAAGCTTGTTTCTTGATATAATTTAGCTTCAAATTAGTGTGAATGAGAAGAGGACAGTGCAGCCTAACAACCTTAGAGGAACACTAATACATAATAATAATAAAAATAATAGACAAGTTGTCTAAACATAATACCACTCAGAAAGCCTCTACTTTGAAGAAATGCTAAATAAAATATACACCACAATTGCCACATACTTTCTATGGATATAGAGTCACTTTGAGGCTGTTTATCACAATAACCTTTTTATGTACATTGGGGGGAAAATACCTGCTTGCTAGAAATTTGCTCCGCCAAACATCACATTGTATAGACATCCTCTCTAACTGTTCGGATAGCTGAGACACATTCCGCCCCAGGGCCTCATTTTCAAGGATCAGTTGATTTTTCTCACGTGCCATGCGTTCAAAGTGATACTGCAGGTCATCCCCAACAGAAGCAACAAGTAACTTCTTGAGCTCCCGATTGACCTAAAAAAAAAAAAAAGACATTTAGTAATTCTAGTTGCAGTGTTCCTCAGTGAGGAAAGTGACCAGCCTGTCTCCAGAACAAGATGTAGTTCAAAATATCAAGACATTAGGAGTTTCCTAGTCAACATTATGGCCATTCATAGTAAATATATATACAGAATACATCAAGAATAGGACACAGTTATATGTTGTATACATTAGACATGTGCTATCAGAGTGTGGCTACATACATTTTTAAAAAGTAATTTAGGCCCATGGAATAGGGAAAGCCAACACCATGAACACTTAAGAGTATATACGACCAGCTTTGACATGCTAAAAGTGGTTAGATCCAGAGGGCACGGCTACTTCTGCAAAGAGACACTCATACTGTAGATTCTTCACCCAGCTGATTTCACCCCCCCCCCACATCCCATGCTTTTCCACGCCACAGGCAGCAAAAAGTGAAAGCCCTGCTGTGCATGTAGAAGGCCTCACAGTCCTTAGGATCCAACTCACTGTTGTGATTTTATAGTGTGCCTTGTAAAAACACAAAGACGAAATTCCAAATTGATGTTTTTCATTTATACTATAGGCACCTGCTCTCGTCACATGGGATAGGGTGTCCTAAAGAGAACAAAGTATAATGATCAGACTTGCTTCTTGGCTCCCTACCTCTGTCTGTACATGGAGCTGATTGGAAAGGCCTTCTTTATCCTGCAGCAACCTTTTTTCTGAGTTCCTGAGCTTTTCAACTGCATTTTTTAGCTCCAGCAGATCTTTCTTTTTCTCTGAAACTCCATCTGATTGGCTGAGCGTTTCTCTCTGGTGTCCTAGAGACTTAGACACCTTTGAATTTTTGGTAGGAACAACATGCTTAATTGCAGCTTTAGGAACCAGAATTCGTACAGCTTCAATCTCCACAGCTTTATCACCATGTATCTTCCCCAGCTGAAGAACTCCAGGACTTAGTGAAGGAAGAACTTTCTTGTGTGGGCTGAGTTGGACGTGACTGGTTGAGGTGTGGACAATTTCAATAGCTTTAGGTGGTTGCTCTGTTTCCATGCCATCTCCAGGTCCACGGATGGGTGAGGTGGCATAGTCAGCTGATGCTTAGAGACAAACAGGAGAAAGATTAACACAGATATTCAAGACAGAAAAGCAAGCTTACCATTCTACTTTTTCCTGAAGACTACACAAATTTTGGAAGGACCTTGCTTTCAATCATGCATTTCAGACAGCCTTTCCTTTATTAATAATAAGCTCCACTGATCTGAGGTCTTTAGCTGAACAATACAATACTTTTAAAACACGGATCACATCAGAAACATTTACAAATAATAAAGAACATTACATCACTAATAAAATAGTATTAAAGGGTATAAAACCCTTCAAGTTGTCGCATTAACGCATAGCAGAGGAATGCCTTACAGGTATCATGAGACAAAAATTTGGCCACAGCTCACAATACCTCAGGGTTAACATCAGCCAACAGGAATGCAACCGTCCGGGGCTCAATGGCTTATATTTGCTTAGAGGCAGTGTTTTTTTTGTAATGAGGACCATTGATTGCAGGATAACAAAACATGATCAACAGTTTTGATAATGCTGGAAGCACTATGGGACGTTTATAAACTTCCCCCTCAATTCAGCTGTGGGCAAAGCAACCAGCCTGCCAAGCACAAAGGCGTGGTGGTTGCTGGGAGTGGAAAGATAGTTTAGATATGAAGGGAGAGCTGCAGGGGAGAGATTCCAAGAGCTAAGGTGGAGTATACCTAATGTGCTCAGAACTCAGTGCTGGTTTTGTCGAGTTTAATTGCCCTCAACTGATTTCCCTCAATGACTTATGGACACCCACATCTTGAATCATAATAAAGAGAGACCTAGGCATTTGAGTTTGCTATCTGCCAACTTAGCCCAAGCACTTTTGTTAATGTCTTCTCTCAGAAGATGTAAAAAGACCTCCATAGGAGTTTGATGCTGGAAAAAGGGACTTCAGTCTCAGTTTAAAGGCACAAATCCAGCCCTACATTCCCCTGAACACTGGGCAAACTCCATTTTAATGTAGTTCTTGCTACATAGGATGGTACCCCAGCAATTCGTCAGAGGTATAGTAAGACCTTCCCAGTCGAGTCAGAGAAAGCATTTATCCAGACGTCTGTGCCAGATTGAATTTGAGGCAGTACCTTAGTGTTAAAGGTCTCAATAGCTGCAGGTATATATTGTCCCCCTTTAGAACAGAAAAAGTGGGTAAGAGCATTTATATCCACTTTGGCCATTTTTTAGCTGAGAAAATATGAGTTTTCCATGCCAAATTATGGCTGAAGATATGAGAAGATCAACAAGCTGAATACTCAGACAATCTATACAATGTATAGGTAAAGGTCTCCCTTGCTCGAAAGCCAGTCGAATCCGACTCTAGGGTTGCGGTGCTCATCTCCGTTTCAAAGCCGAAGAGCCAGCGCTGTCCGAAGACGTTTCCGTGGTCATGTGGCCGGCATGACTAAACACCAAGGCGCACGGAACGCTGTTATCTTCCAACCGAAGTGGTACCTATTTATCTACTTGCAACTTCTTGCTTTTGAACTGCTAGGTTGGCAGGAGCTGGAACTAGATACAGGAGCTCACTCCGTCTTGCGGCACCCGGGTCTCGAACTGCTGAACTACTGACCTTCCACAGCCTGCAGTTCAGCGTCTTAACCACTTGAGCCACCGCAGCTCCTATACAATGTATAGCGCCATCTATATGATAAAAGCACTATTGCTAGCACTTTATATTGTTATAATGTGAGTTTAATGAATTGTTTTAAAACTTTTATGATATTTGATTGCTATTATGTTTTATTGTGTAAGACTGCTTAGGCGGGGAGGGTGGGGTACACATTTGAATGAATGAATAAATAAATAAATAAATATTCTCATTCTGTTTATGGTCCAGGTCTTACATTTCTTGCTCCCCGCTTTTGAGAACACCATAACCTTAGATTTTCATAATTAACTGGCAACCTGTTTCAGGACTCTCCAAAGTCCAGCCTCTGTTCTTGATAACAGCAAAATGTTGGGTGCATAAAACAGGACACGGATATTTTGGCTGGCTAAAACTGGTGCATGGCAACTCAAGTTCTGAAAACATGGAATCATATTCATAAAATGATTAAAAAGAAGGGGAGTTAAAAGGCAACCTTGTTTAACACCGGTAGAAAGAGAAATAATACTAGCTAGCTGGCCTTCCAGGCCACAACGGCCTTGTGCTGTGGAATTTTCATATAATTTAGAAATTAGCCAAAGGAGTCTCTTATCTAGTGTAGTTTTGGCTAATTTAGCCCAAAGTTGGTGCCTTGGGACTGAATCAAGTGCGGCTTGGGGATCCATGAATGCTACGTAAAGATAGCTGGCTTCGGTGCAAAAAGTATGTCCCAGCTAGATAGTATAAAATAAGGCAGTGATTGAGAGCAGACACACCTCTTCTGAAGCCTGCCTGTTTATGATAGAGAACTGACTCAGATTTGATCCAGTAAAAAACCTTAGAATAAAGGGAGGTAGAGAACTGACTCAGATTTGATCCAGTAAAAAAACTTAGAGTAAAGGGAGGTTGCATGCACGTTACCAACCACTTACAGCAGGCTTATAGGATCAGATTTAAGCCCCTTTTTATGTATAGGAACAATTACTACATGCCTCCACAATGGAGGTATAATTCTGGAGTTGTTAATTTCAGAAAAAACGGGCCAACAGCTTGCTCCACTACAGTGGGTTAGATTTCAAAAGATCTACTGATATAAAATCTGGGTCTGGTGCCTTATCTGAATGCATCTGCTTAATTATATAAGACACTATCTCTGGTAAAACTGGGGGCCAAAGCTGAGTGCCAGAGGGTTCCAAAAGCACTCTCTCTGAATTTATTTCAAAAGTGTTAACAAATATGGAGGAAAAATGCTGTTCCCAGATCTCCAAAGGGATACATGATGGAAGGTTAGATACTCTGCAGAGTAGGGATAGGCACAAACTGACTGACAAACTAGACTTCACAATTTTTGGCCTGTTCAGGGTTCGCAAACTGAAGAACCATGACAAACTAAAACAAATTCTGGCACAATTTATGGTGGCCTGTGGTGGTTCATGAAGAGAAGAAAGCAGGGGAACCACGAGAACCAGCTGAGCAGCTGGGAGCTCCCTGCCACTCAGCTGTTTGGTTTAAATGGCTTGGAGCCATTTAAACCACTGCTGTTTTCAGCTACCTGCGGCTTTCAGCAGGGAGCCAAAAACAGGTTTAAATGGTCCTGCTTTCTGCTCTCTGCAGAAAGGAGGGTTTAAATGGAAAGGGTTAAGAACTTTCCCAGTGGCACATCACTCCCACCATTCTACTGGCCATGGCTCCTGTGTCCATAGAGGGGAGAGCACCAAAAGAAGCTAATAGATCCCCCCTCCACTGCATTTATATCGCCCTTAATTTCCAGGCTAGGCAGAGCCTCTCTAGATTTAAAAACATTGGGGGGGATTTCAGACAGCCAGATTAAGAGTCTACCACACAAAAATGCCAATTGATGAAAGAGATATAAACTATGATAACAAAATAATGGTTTGCTAATGATATTTAAAATGCTATTTACATTTTCAGATAATTAATGTCACCTTGTTGCTTGTGTCAACATGAACCTGAGAAATTTGCAGTCTCACAGAATGTGTTCAGCCCAACTCTTACCTAACTTCTCTATATTTGAAAAAGTGTGCATGCACACGAAAGTTCATACCTAGAATAAACCGTTGTTGGTCTTAAAAGTGCCACTGGACTCTGTTCTACTAAGTTCTCTATGGCCTTGAAGAGATTCAGATATATATTTTACCAACAATTATTTCCTATCATGAACAATTGTAGATCAGATTTCATAAAGTTACATGCATTTTTAAAGGACACTTACTGTTTTCTGTTTCCTGCAAAGTTGCCATTTTGCTGCTAGATCTAGAAATAATGTACCTTAAAAATAAAAATATTTAAAAGTTACATTTTTTGCTCTAGTTCTCTTAAATTATACACAGAGCACAACAGTGTAGAGTTTATTTCTGCAATCCAGCAAGGGATACGCTCATGCAGCCTCCTGTGTAGTGATGTAGATGTGCATCTTAGTGTACCAAATGATGCACATTGTAATGTTAACTGGAGACTTTTTGAACTACTGTATGCCTGTACTTATACAGATGTGAATGTGCACTCCCATCCAGGGCCACAGTAGACACATAACTACATTTGGAACTAGATAACTTTCATACTGAAAAGAGAGCTTTTGTTTCCTCTAAAGGCTGACGATTCAGCATAATAGAAACAATTCCAGCAACACTTTCAAATCCTTTGTTTGTGAGAAAAGTCACAACACACTCAGTACAATCACACTGATACCTACCACGATAAGCTAAAAGCTTAAATCGGAGGTGGGAAGGAGGTGATCCTTATTCCACGATGCTTTTTCTTTGGAGAGAAAAAATATGTTCAGTATCCAGTCCTGGGTGCATCTATTTAATACACTGTACCTTAAAATACAGTTGAACTGTCAACATAGAAAACACAGTACATACATGTATATAGCGCCAGACTCTGCATTTATACTTCACACCTTAATGACCAGCAAAAATTTATTCCAGCATAAATTTTTGTGGATTAGAAGAGCTCCAAAGGTAGACTCTAGAATGAAATGGCTGAATTGGGATTCATTATTCCCCCCTCCCTAGGCTGAACAGAGACTTTTGAGTTCTTCCTCACTATAGCTTGCTAACAAAATCTGTGACTCTCCGCCCGTTACAGGTATTAAGTAGAAACTGGTTTCTGCATTTTTCTTGATTCGTTTTGAATTTTACATCATTACATTTCACGGTCCCTTGAGCGTACTGTTAATTTTTTTTCACGGCTCCTACATACAATGCCTGCCTAGCGAGGATCTCCTTACTGTGCCTGAAAAAGTAGGCGCTAGCTACAAAACCTTACGATAGAATACAGAAGGCATAACACAGCTACCCGTCAGGAACTGCTCTACAATAAGTAGGTTCTTAGCATTACAGCCAGGTGAAACTTCACAGATCACGCGACACCCGCCGCCCTTCTCCAACTTACCAACCTCCGCATCGTCCCCCTTTTACTCAGTCCTCTCCCAGATCTTCTTTCGCCTTCTTAGCGCAGCTTCCGGTATCACCACTATTTTCCGCCCAACGTCCCAGTAATGACGTTCCCACTTCTCCGCCTTGTGCGCCTACGGAGTAACCTTTAACCTTTCATCGTAGGAATGTTACATGCCTAGAGCGACGCCCATTGGAAGGTCCAGGTTTTTTTTTAAATGGCGACTTTCCATTTGTTGCCGGAAGTTCAGGCCCTGTGTCGCTCTAGACTTTTGTTCATCTCTGTGTACGCGGGGGGGCGTGGCTTCGGTTGCTAGGAAGCCGCTTGGTGGAACTGCTGGAGCTGTAATCCTACCGAGAAACTGCCCCGGCTGACACAGCGCGCGCTTGTGTTCGAAAGGAGTAACGGTTGCACTATGGTGAGTGAGGGCGAGGGCAAGCAAAGGAGAGAAGGGGATGTGGCCGCCCCCGATGTCAGAGCGCCAGGAGTCGCTCGCTTCTTGACAGCTCATTGTCTCAACTCATGGCGGCTGCAGCGGCAAAAGAGTGGTTTCCCTTTGTACATGCGCGCGCGCACACGCTTTTCTCTCCCCAAGTACCATGAGCCGGAAAAAAAAGGCAATTCGTCCATTCCTCACATTCCTTAGTTCATCGCGCTCCCGGATAGGATGATCCCTCCTCACAACAGCCTTTTGAGGTAGGTAAGGTGATGCACATTGTTTGGGACAAAAAAAAACCCAGTTTCAACTATCGGCTAATGGGGTCTGAAATGGCTGAGACAGAGAGGGGGAAAGGTCTTGGGGCTGTAGTGGATAGCTCAATGAAGGTGTCAACCCAGTGTGCTGCAGTGGTGAAAAAGGCAAACAGTACGTTAGGGATTATTAGGAAAGGGACTGAGAATAAAACAGTTGATATTGAAATGCCCCTGAATAGATCTATGGTGCAGCCTCATTTGGAGTACTGTGTACAGTTCTGGTCACCTTATCTCCAAAAGGTCATTGCAGAGCTGGAAGGAGTACAGAGGAGGGCAACCAAGATGATGAGGGGGTTGGAGCACCATCCCTGTGAGGAAAGGCTGAAGAGTCTGGGAGTTTTCACTTTAGAAATGAGAGGGGGGGGGCAGGGGACATGATAGAGGTTTATAAAATTATGCATGGGGTGGAGAGAGTTGACAAAGTGAACTTTTTCTCTCTCTCTGAAAATATTAGGACTTGAGGGTATCCAGTGAAGCTGATGGGCAGTAGATTCAGGACGGACAAAAGGAAAATATTACTTTACACAGAGTGATTAAAATGTGGATGAAAAGTACTGAGACTGACGCATCATTGAGTGATTTTCAGCTCATACTTTACTAAGTTATTTCAGAAGATAAAAGCTACAGGGCAAGCCCGCGGGCTGCTTAAATGCACAACAACAACTCCACCCACACACACCCATGCACCCGTGATTGGCTATTTACATAATCCTACATCTGATAGGGTTCCTTTAGGACCCTGGTCAGCCGATAGGCCGTTATTAGGATCCTAGGTGCCCATTGTCTCTGAGATTGAAGCTCTGGTTTACCTAGCTGACCGTGAGTGCAGAGCGACCACGTGCGCGGTTTAAGTTGGTACACAACAGTGGAATTTGCTGCCAGATGGTATAGTGATGGCCAGAGGAATAAACAGTTTTAAAATGGGATTAGATAGATTCAATGGAGGATAATCTATCAGTGGCTACTCGCCATGCTGACTGAAGGGAACCTCCACTTTCAGAGGCCCTAATCCTCTGAATCCCAGAGCCAGGAGGCAACATCATGGCCTCTGTGCCCTGTTGTTGGCTGTCCAGAGGAACTGGTTGGCCACTATGTGAGACAGGATGCTGGATTAGATGGAGCAGTGGTCTGGTCTAGCAGGACTCTTCTTATGTTCTAACGGCTGCAGTCATGCGGAGCATTAGCCACGCTACAGAGACGGAAGATAGGCGGATTTTCCGGGCGCGATCACAGCGCCACATCTGGGAAGTGTAGAGCTCCCATGGCGAACCCGAGGCTTCTCGCCAAAGATGTGGGGTAAAAAACTAGTACCTCCGAGGTACTAGTTTCCGGAAACCGCGGGGCAAGGGCGGGCGCCTGATCGCGTTTCCGGTGGTAGGTTGTGGCATCCGGCGCCCGCCCATGTCCCGTCGCTAAAAGGTTTTTTCCCCCCAAGTCTCCACGGGATGCACACAAGCACCCAACAGCGCATGCACACACTTCATTTAAAAACAAACAACACAGCCCCCTCCTCTTTTCCGTACCTCCCCCCACTCCTGGCTCGGCCTGCTCGAGAGGCACTCTCTGCACCGGGCGGCAGAGGGGGAGGTGCAGGGGGGGCGTGGCGGGAGGGCGGCCCAGCTGAACCTCCTCCTAGAGGGGACCGGACGGAGGACAGGTTGCATTGCTCTGCAGCCCTGGAAGGGGTGAGAGCTGGAGCCT